CAAAGCTATGATTGGCAGCTAAGATAAAAAAAATTCAGCAGATTATCAGTATTGGGAAGATTTTGACTTGGAATGTAAGAGTTGTAAATTGCTATTAACATAAATGAACGAACAAAAATAAAAGAAAATAGGTAAATGTATGTCTGGAAAGTAGGAAAAAGTAGAGAATGTAATGAGCTGAATGAAAATAGCCTGATTATGTTGAATGATGCTGATGAATACATGAAGGAAAAAGACGGAAAGGGTTTAATAAAGCATTAAGGGGCTAAAATATCTCTCTGAAAGTATGAATTGATGTTTTTTGAGTTACTGTGGCAGGGGTGGGTTTCTCGCCCCGTTCCAACTGGTTCAGTTGGAACGGGGCCGGCGGCGTCCTCGTGCACGCGCGCAGTGCACGCATGCGTACTAGCGTCTGTGTGATGCTCCAGCTGCTCCTGGAGGATCGCGCAGGGGCTGTATGCGTCCTGCGCATACGTGGAAGTGCAGAACTCGTCAAAACCGGGTAAGGGCGTGTGGGCCCTTCGCCGTTCCCGGAAGTTACTTACTTCCGGGTTCGCCGACAAACCGGTTCGCGGGGACCGCTGTGAACCAGTTGAAACCCACCCCTGTACTGTGGGTATATATGAAAAATAGAAATGCGTATTTTGATGATAGTTGAATGTTACATTCAAGTGAATAATGATAATTGAAAAATCAAATAATAGAACCTGTTTTTTGGGGAAAATACAGCAATGGATGAAACTAATCAAGGAGAGAACCAACCTAGAATTAAGAAGAAATTTCCTGATAGTTAAAACAATTGATCAGGGGAACAAGTTGCCTCCAGAAGTTGTGAGTTGTCCATCACTGGAGGTTCTTAAGAAAAAAAAGGACAATCATTTGAAATGATATAGGATCTCCTGCTTAAGCAGGAGGTACGACTAGACGATCTCGAAGGATTTTCCAAGTGTGTTATTCTGTAATTCATTTTGAATGAATGCAATCCCGGGGAAAAATATTAATCTGTTATGTAAAGCGGATGAATAAGTTGAAAGAGTGTAAGAGCTATTTTGAGACCTAAAAATGAATGTGTTTGGTCAGATACCACATAGATAAAATGTTTTGAAAATTTGTTGTAGTCACTTCATATGTGTACATGGAAAAGTAATGAATACAAAACATGACTGAGCTTTCAGCTTTTATGATGAGAAACTGGGGAGATTCTGAATGCTTCACACATTATTTGTGGGAAGGAAGAACAGAAGGAAGGGAGGGAGGGGGGAAGGAAAGAGGCAGGAAGGGTACAATTTACAGTTTCAATGTTTGCAGATCAACAGATATAATAGAATGAATAGAAAGTAGATTTAATGAAAGAAATCCAAATTGGGGGGAAATCAGGGGAAAGGAAAGCCTCATGTTGATTTTGCAACTGAATCTGTGAGGAGAAAAATTCATTTTAATAGACTTCTCACATATTGGATGTTTGTATGTATTTGTATGAAGAGATCTGCACTGACATTTAAATTATTTTTACAGGTGAGAATATAAAGGAACAAGGTTTTCAGAAATATTTTCACACAGTTTTTGATAGATGCTTATTGATTTACAGGAGGCAGCTTAATTTTGGTTTTTAAGACTGTTCAACAGCAAAAATTAAATCAGAAGACAGAACACAATTAGAAAAGAAAGATAAATAATATATAACATAGCACACTCTGGTCTCCAACAACGTATAGTAATCACTGTATATAGTTTGCTAATTGACAAACACATACAAACATAATGTGTTAGTTTTGATAAAAATGAGTTTAGTGATAAATTAAGCTTTCTTTGTTCATATTCCAAAATAAGAACTGAATAATTGTTTACATTCCATCATTTCTTCCAGTACTTTGTCATTTATTCATTAAAAAAGGAGTAGGGAAATATATTTTGTTTTTAAGTATTCCCCAGAAGTAGGAAAAGTGTTTGTTTAAAAAAAATATGAGAGGAAGTTAATTTTGGAGTTCATACATATTTCTGATGTGAAATATCTAACAATATTTCTAATATAAACACTTCACTTTAGAGGTTTGAATCTTGTGGGATTTACATGGGGTCTTATTGAGGCAAAGTAAAACTATCCACATTAAATCTGTTAATTTCACTGGAAAAGTGATAATCATTGGTTAAATATATTCCTTTACATTAAGAATCTGAAATGTTTAATTGTTACTGAGTATCTTCTCAAATATGATAAGCTGATATACAGCTATTTTTATCTTAATAAGAAATGCATATTCTGGTGCTAGATATGAATTCCTAAAGACTTATACATAGCATATCACCTGGGATCAGAATAATAGAGTTGGAAGGGACCTTGCAGGTCCAAAACCCTTCTTAAGCAGGAATTCCTATACTATTTCAAACAAATTCATCAAATTTCTTAAAAATCTCCATCGTTGGAGCATCCACAGCTCATTGTTTGATCTGTCAGGAAATTTCTCCTTAGTTATAGGTTGTTCTCTCTTTGATTAGTTTCCATCCATTGCTTCTTGTTCTAACTTCAGATACTTTGGAGTCTCTTCCTTGCGGCAGCCCTTCAAATATTGGAACACTGCTATCACGTCACTCTTTAGTCCTTCTTTTCATTAAACTAGACATAGTTCAGACTAGTTCATCTTTGTTGCTCTTCTCTGCACTCTATAAGTCCAAGTACTATTGCTATTTTTACTTTGAAAGTGAAATATTGATTTCAACCAATGCATAATATTACTTAAGAGCTGAAAATAAGTATTGATATTTTTTTTTGGTGGGGGTATTTATAAAAATATTGTAAATATTTGGGCTATTGTCATAGAAGAAGTGTCCCAATATTTACCAATCCTAAACATGCATATATTAACCTGAGATAAAATTTGAAGGGTAGATTATTAGATGCATCCTGGAACCAGCATCTTAGATGTAAAACATATACTATGTTAACTCCATTATAGCTAACAACTGAAGTATTAGTGTGTCTTTCATTAGTTAAGCAAGATAAGAGCTTTATTACTGGTGAGTGCATATTCACATGAATGTATTAAGTCAATTAGGGAATTAAAATACTTGTTGTAGCAGTTACATCATTAATTTTATAACCTGGTGTTAGAACAGATAAAGACTGCACTGTTCATTTAGAGTGCCTTTCACCATCTTTTAGGCTGCAAAAAAACTACACAGTAGTTGTTGCTACAACTACACAAAAACATGACAGTTACTATCTCTTGTTGCTTTCTATTTGCCTCTGGTGTATCTGTTCTATTATCAGTGAATGGTAATGATTATGTATGTACAGCACGTGTTATGCAAGAGACTGACTCCTCCAATGTTGCTACTTTTCTTCTTCTTCAGATTATCATCAGCTGATAAAAAATTATTATCCATCCATCTATCCATCCATCCATCTCCAACCTATGAGGTTCTCTAACTCCAAATTTTGAGCCTGGATGGTTTACATAGGATTAAAAACAGACAAAAAATAAATTATAAATATAAAAACCACATAAAATACAACTGAGGCCAAACTGCAATCTTCAGGTGAGCATTTCCCAAATAATTTCAGGGCAGGCTTATTCAATGTTTTGTCCCAATAGAGGATGAAAAACCAAGTTTTCAAAGCCTTATAGAGACTTACAGAAATTGCTTTGGAGGCCATGCAAATCTTGTGGGATATGATGTTCCAAAAGTCAGAAGCTATAACCAAGAAAGCACATTTCTAGACTCTGTGCCATGAAGGACTTCCATCCCTTTTAATGTTCAGGACGTCCCTCAAGATCTGGTTAAATTATCAGGCTTTAACTGGCAATATTTTTGTTGTGGGTAATATATGGTTACTATGTTTTTTTTCCCCATCTGTGGTTTGTATATTTTTATTTTAATGATTTTAATATTGATTGTGTGCATTTTATAATGATTGTTTTTATAATGATGTTTTAATATGTTTTCATTTGATTGTTGTGCATCACCCAGAATCACCTCTGATAAAGTGGACAAAATTATAACAACATGCACTTCACTTCAAAGCAACTTCAGAAGGATGCTGTGTTTTGAAGGCCACTCAGAAAATAGAAAACAGATTAGATACACAACCCCATCCCAATAAACCTACTAAAGGTAATCTACAAGGGTGATCAATATTATCTCAGTCAGAAATAATCTGAAAACAATGCCGATAATTTGTTTATTCTTGGTCTTCTGAAGCTGCCAACGTATCACCTTATCAACAATCTTGCCTAAAAGTGACTAACTGCATCTTTGTTTCTGCATTGGGTCCAAAAGACTTGTACAACTGAAATGCAACTCAGAGCAAATCTTACTGGCTGTATCTTATGGGTGACTTAAATATTTTTCAGAGTGGCACTGTGTAAGTTCACCTGCTCCTCTGAATCCCACCCCCCATTTAGGGACCAAGTCACAGACCAACTATTTGGGGATAGTTTTACTTGCTCAAAACTAAAAAGAGTAGTGTCTCAACTCTTACTTTCAAAAACAGGGTATAACTATGTAGCTATGCTTTGAAGGACCAGTTCTACAAAACTTCAGAATAAAATTAAATGTTCCTTCAAAGTTAACCCACAGCATTTTGCTCACAACTTTCAATAGCACTTTTTATGTGCATATTTTGTGTGTAGAATTTTTGACAGGGGAAAATGAATACTAGCAGACATGGCTTGATGCTAGCATTCATTCTGCTATGAAATCCAGAGAGAACAGAATGCTTAAATTAGTTCTCAGAAGAACCTTTGGGGAATTCTTTCCAGTTTTCATAGATATTTGAGTCTTTTGGACCACAGTGCAATCACCATCAATTTCAGAATTTATTTTTAGAGATACTTGTTCTGTATCTTTCTCTGCTACAATGGTTTCCTGAGGTAGTGGTGTCATTGTAGCTTTCTTTGTTTTGCTAAAATTCTTCTTTTTTATAATCTAGAACTATGGAATGACATATCATGGCATTTTTGAAAAAGAAGAAAACTAAACAAAGAGAGAGAGAAAATTACCTGACTGGCGCACCACGAGACTGTGCAGGCTTCAGCATGACCGTAATGGTGGTCTCAGTTTCATTCAGAGGGCTATCCGTATCATATTCTGGCATTGATGGTGCTGTTGGACAACATAAATATTTATGTTTCTGTAAATCAACCAGTAGAAGGGAATCAAATACAACATGCTTTTTGATGCTGTTGTTCTGTTGTAGTAGTGAACATTTGGTTGGATTTTTAACCCAATTAGGAAGAAAACCTAAAAAATTAGGTTTTCTTGTTATTTCTCTCTCCATGTTCCTTTATGTTTAATTAAATATCTCTTGCTCTCTTTCCAATTTCACATCTTAATTTACAGCTGTCTTTGCAAGAGGCTGTTTCTAAAGCAATGCAACAGTTTGCATGAGCAGACCCATTTTGGGTGTTGACTTAAGCCGACATAAATCAAAGCATACTATATTTTAGCACAAAGTGTAAAGTCAACAAAAAAAAATTAAGCTTATTTCTTGAAATCTCAACTTTGTGTTTTAATGATATCAAAATCTAAATGAATAAATGTTGACCCTTATTTATATTAAAGCAAAAGAAGCAATGTGTTGTATCCTCTCACTTCTATAATTTCTTTATATGTGAATATGAACATGTTTTACATAAATACTCAGCAGAGAATAACACAGTTATAGACATTTTTTGTTGCTAGGTGCATCTGCAGATTGCACAAAGCTTAATGACGAAGGGAATGTTTTGAATTATTCGAGATCAATTTCTGTTTAAAATTAAACAGATTCAGAAAGCAATGCTTAACTGGAAACAAAGCAGAACAAAAAACCCCACCCACTATTATTTTATTATTTATTAAAGTGCACAATGTTAAATGACAGGATTGTCTTATTGTTTTATAAGAAATCTGACAAATTATTTTCCCCATAGGAACATTTTAAGAAATGCAGCCCAAGATGCTAATTGCCTTAACTTTGACAGAATACTAATTATTTTCCCTTTACCTACCAAATTCAAAATTAAAACTGAATTTTCTCAGCATGCCATTTTCCCCTTAATAGTAATACCTGAAATTTTAGTTGCAATCCGTGTGGTGATGGGAGGTCCAAAACCCTTTACTGTGCTGGCTTTAATGGTGAATGAATAGGTAGTTCCTGGATATAATCCTACAAACAAGTGGTGGGTTTCATTCCTTAGTTTGAAGACTTTTCCTCTCTGGTTCAACAAGTCAGCAGTAGGATCTAGAGATCCAACAGCCTTGTAGGTAATCTGAAATAAATTGGGGGAGGGGGTCAAATTTGTTGCATGATCTGAATGTATAATTGATTCTGTATATACAGTATTTCCATCTACAGAGATCTAAATTTATTTGGAAGGACTAAACAAATATATTTCAGCTAATTTTAACTGATTTCTAGGATAAATGTTAGTTGCTAAATAGGTGATTTAGCAATATAGGATGTCCATAGAATCAAATGCAAGTCAAATGCCTAAAGAACAGATTCCCATACTTCAGAACTTGAGTTCCTCTAGTCACTAGAGGAATCAGAACTATTTCTGTCTCATGCTTAGACCTTAATCTAGAAACATCTATGGTGATTCTCAGTCATCAAGGTCATGGTTATCCCAAAAGTGCTTTTTCAAGAGGCAACTGGACTTTCTGTTTTTTTTCTTTGAAGACCTTATACTTCTCTTCCAAGAAACTTCATCACATCTCAGCTGGAAAAAAAGAAAAAAGCTCTCAAAAGCTTTAGAAAAAAAATTCTTGTAGAAAGGAAGGAATTTACATAATCCACTTCGTTTAGGATCTTCTGTAGCTGATTCCATCTCATATTATCTGCATTTTTCCCAGAAAGGAAGGATTTGTAACAAAGTGAATGGCTAGATTTTTTTTTCAGGAGAAGGTCCCTATCTGCCTCATTAAAAGCTAAATCCAATTCCAGTCACATGACGCCTTTGTCAGACAGCTAAGAAGCCAGAAAGAATATGAATCCAAATCACACATGAGAGGCCCCATACAACAGATAATCCATTTTCTCAGCTTCCACAAGATCAGTGAAACCAAACAGTCAAACAGTCATCATGTTAAACTTTGATATCGATCTCTGAACAAATATAAGCTATTTTCTCTGCAAAGAAACTTTCAATAATGAATGGATTATCCTGATAATGTAATAAAAATGGAAAAGTAAAGATGTTTCACTTTAAATTAGGCCAAGGAAACATACCCATGATTGATTTCATCTGCTCTATCTTTTCTGCTACCATTACTCTAGATAATTCTTATCTTGTTTATTTTCTAGAGCTCTTTATAAAGAGATTGACAGTTTGATGAAAGCTGCCTTGTAACAATTTTATCCAACCTTGGTGTCTCCACAATCAGATCTATGGCAGAACTGTGGCACCACATTATTGGGGAAATCTCCAACAGCACTCAAAAAAGGACCTGGATCATGCGGCATCATGTGAACCATTTTTATAAGTCTTCTATCCTTACCAATATCAGAAAGACAGCAATTTCTCACTGTTCATAGCACAATGATGGGGAGAAAAGGTGTCAAGCTCTATCCTTTGGGATATGCATTTCACATTACATTACAGATAGAAAAGATATGGGTTTGCATCAGAACACCACTGTTTATGTCACACTGACCCCTTGCCCCTTCCACAGTTGCTGGTGCATGGTGATATTGTGCAGCTTAAATGTAAGTAGACAATGGAAAAGGATGCAATGTTTTGAATCTAACGTGTTTGTCCATATGAGTAAGCATCAAGCCTATGCTTTTCCTGGCAATGATGGCCATGAAATCCAAAAGACCTATTAATCTTCTCTTGAAGAGACATGGTGATAGCCGAGGTGGCGCAGTGGTTAAATGCAGCACTGGAGGCTACTTCAGCTGACTGCAGTTCTGCAGTTCGGCT